CCATTTTCATCAGAAATGAAAGATTTAAGGTTACTTCGCCTTTCAAATACATAAGTTGTGACGAAGTTTGCTGAAAAATTATGGTTTGAGTGGGATATTCTTTAACCGACGTACAGCTGTTTGAAAATTATCAGCTGTATTCGGAATGACGGGATTCAGGATAGTGATATTTAACTGATGCGCTTCGAATTAATGGGATTCAGGATAACGGCACTCGGGACGATGGGATTCGGGTTTGGGATCAGAGATTATTTACCCTGAGTATGCACCAGATTAGCCTGCTAGATGAACATCACGCTCAAAATTCTCAAATTTTCTACTCATGTCACGAGGAGTCTAAAATAACTTACTGTTATAGTAATGATAAAACATAATTTCTAGAGTAGTCATCCAAGCATCACGTAATGCAACAGCTCTGAATGTTGCTAATTAAATTCATTTATGTAGCTAATTCAAACATGACTCTCAGCACGAGAGAGCTCTGGCTGTTATTTATATTAATTCAATGCATACATGTTGTTAATTGAAATATCACGAAATACACATGACAGGCCAGGCTGTTATTAATTTAATAAACATGGATATATGTTATTAATTCAATGCATTTATGTAGTTAATTCAATGATTACGTTATGCAAAACACAACTCTGACTGTCTAGTGACACCATACACATCATATGCAATACTCATTTGGGCAGTGATTCAAGCTTTACAATTTAACAAACAGCAAATGACAGCCAAGATATTATATAATTAGTGTCTTTTACCTGAACATTATCACACGATAATCTTGAAGGGTCAGGGTCACTCAATTATTGTAAAAAGTAAATGGGAAACAATTGCTTAAATATAAACGAGTCATAAATTCAACAATATTCGTAAGCTGCACCTCATCAAATATTTCCCTCTACATTCACGCAGAACTGAGAGCGACGGTCAAACTCGTTCATCGTCGTAGAATTTAAAAACGTTCTAACATTTTTGAGTATTTGGCCTAAGCGAAGGTTGGCGCCGGAAGCGTAGTTATTTTGGACGTTTGCCATAGTAATTTGCAATGGAAATGCATGCAGGTAATTGTTGTGTGGTCTCAGGGTGAGCAGCATGGGAGATGTCGTGAGGTAACCTGAGAGAGGAAGGCTTGTGGTCTGTCGAGCGCTACGAGAATTGAGGAAGGTTAAGGTCAAATGGTAATGCAGTTCACTTTTTCTACCAATTCTCATACGAGATAGTCTTACTGATATATTATGCGCTCAGAATTAACCCGGACAACTTTTATTGAGTTTTAAGTTGAATTCTTTCAGTGACTACATATGCTACACGTAAACTTGCCTATTAAGCGACCAGATGTCTTGGCCGGCTTCTCACGTAAAATGTTGGCTGGCTCGACATGTTGAGTATCCACAGACGTGAAAATGATCGCGACTGGCATGATAAATTAAGCTCGACGAGGGCCTCATGTTTATCATTCACATTAAAGGTTCAGGAGATCAAGTGAATGCCAGTAATACGACAAGTGCACCAATGAACATTGCCCGCGTCACGCCGTTGTGTCCGAGCATCAAGATCATAAAGATGTATACCCTTTAATTATGTCGTGTCTTCATACGTTTTTTTTAACTATGTCTTTAATTTAAAAGTTATCTTCCGTTGTAACTATTTTCAGGGATAGTATGAGCAAGTTTATCTCTTTGAGAATTGCTAGGTGATATTTTTGTTTCCACAATTGACTTCATATTAGGTTATGCGAGATGTTTTCAAGTGCCATTAGTTCTGCACGATTAAATTACGTCGATAAGCTTTCAGGTTTAATTCTGCGACTCGTGCTTTCCGTAAACACCTAAAAGATGCTAAATTTCTTTAAGAGATAAAAATTGTTTCGTGTATCGGGATCCGTAGGTCCGCTCTAAAAAACTATCAAGTTTTTCGCTGATTAATTTTTCGCTGATTGAGGCACAAATTTAGTCAATACCCGAATAATACATTTATGGGGCATTAATGATAATCTGATGAAGTGCAACATTGTCATTCATCATCATCGCTCAAATTCTGAAAATGATACTGGCTTGTCAGGCTATCTCTTCATCAACAACGCTGTTACCGTATATTTATCTATAAACCCTCCTAGACGTCAAGCTTGCCTACATGACGATTATACGTATCTAGCTTACCTTTATCGTAACAATTCGGGAATATGACTCAGGGCCTTGCATGCCTTGTTCTCTACTCCCTCTCTAGGGTAAATTTCTACTCCCTCTCTAGGGTAAATTTCTACTCCCTCTCTAGGGTAAATTTCTACTCCCTCTCTAGGGTAAAGGTTCCTGACGAGCACCAGCACTTATACTTTATATGGATGTACTCCTTCGCTGAAAACACAAAACTCTAACAGAACAATGACGGAGTTTAAAGTCTCAAAAAATAGGAGATGAAAAAGTCTCGAAATTGTGGAGTCTCTGAACTAAGATTCAATGAGTTAATGTTACCAGTGAACGGGTTTACATGTATCATTGCCACCAGAGATTTAAACGTTCGAGTAAAAATTAAGCCATATTCATTAACCTTTAAATTAAATTCTTTCTTATTTTGAAGACTCAAATGATGAATTTTCTAAGGACGGAAGGTGTTCACCAACTTATAAGATTAGAAATTTAATGAAGGGATTTAATGTCGGTGACTCGCTCTGAAAGAGGTTTCACGTTGTTGATCTGTTCGATACTGAGTGCACATAGCATAAATAAATATTTATGTTCAAGTGATTGTTAATTTACACATTAATAACAAATAAGATACAGCCCACTGTGATCTAAAAATCTTCAAGAGTTGGAAACGAGTTACTTTGCTGCAATTCCTTTCCTTGATCAGAACACGAATAATAATTAATTCGTGTCTTTTCAATATACAATCATTATTTTCGTTGTGCAGTTTTTTCCTGAGTGATTTTGTATTTAGCCCTGAGATATTCCATATGTGGAGCACCCAGACCTGATATATGAACTTAACGCCCCCACAGCAAGCTTAGGGTTTTGATGTTGAAGGAAAGAATTCATGCAGTTAATTTGATATGAAACTGACAGACAGACAGCAGCTGTCAGTTAGCTCGACTTAATCTCTGAAAACTCGAGCTAAATAAAAAGGCTGACTTGAAGTACGCACACCACATGGAAGATCAGGACTTACAATTGCATGGTGTTTCTCTGCTGAATTCATCGGGAGAACTTGATACGTTTAGCATAACTAGAAATTGAAAATCTTATCCCAAATAGTGATGATAACATTTTCAATTCAAAATAATTTGTATATGAATGGAATAAGCTGCTTCAAAGTTTCAACTCAGTTATTATGCGGCACTTGCTCGCTGGTGAAACTCGAAGGAATCGTGCATAGTTCGATCCTCGTAAAACTTGAGCTCGAATTTACGTTTCATGGCTCAGTGGCCAGCCGAGCAGTAATATCTCCAAACGATTGCAGATCTACAAATTATCTCAGGTAAATATTTCTGAAGTCCAAATTTCGCTAAAGAATAGACAATCGATGGGAAATGAGTCTGACGGTATACGTTGGTGGCATCGAAATCATTTTTCAGTACTTCTACCCTTGCAATTTATTACGCGCATGTATGCGATCGGAACTGCAGAACAGCATGCGCATATGGATAACAATTGCGTGCGCAGTAGACTGTACGTGTATGGGCCCAGTCTGCTCCCGCCCGATCTTTGAACAGCTCGCGCGTACCTGCCATTTAATCCCCATATCCGCGCACGCTTTGCGTTTTTATGTAGCGTTTACATGGTATGGTAAAGTGCGGGTCGTTTTGAAGCGGGCAGCTTTGAATTAACTGCTCCCATAATCCTTAGTTTCTAGTTTTAGGAACATATTTGGCGGTCGACTGGTGGCCGGCGGTAGGCCGGTACTTTTTTCCCCAGATATTTCAATAAGCAGACAAGTGTGAGCTCGTAAAGTTGAGGTTGAACCTTGCCCTGGTCATGTATACATGATGAGGCTTTATAAGTGGGACTTGATTGTCTGACTTCTCCCAGGGTCACGTACGAGTGATGGCGTAGGTCCTGTTGCTGGCAACTTCGTTGGCGAAATTTTGCTTTTACCTTGGATTTCTTGGGGATCGCGATGCTGACAAAATTTGTTGAAGTAAACTATTGAAGTGTCTCGGAGTCATCTAAACTAAGAAAATTTTTGTGTAGTTTAGCTGGTATAAAATGATCAAACTTATTCAATTGTGCAGGAAGTAGGTAATTATAGATACACTTTGTGTTTTGATTAATTGATAGTCGAAATTAAATTTAATTTAAATTTGTGCACATGGAAACCATCAATAGCACACCACATATCCCTCATTCGTGAAATTCATCATGTGACAGCGTCTTTTCCAGCAAATATTCAATTACGCAAAAAACACATGCATGATATGATTTTAGTGGAATATCAACTGTGTGTGACGAATTGGCCAAATTACCTTCAGCACAACAAGCCACGAAATAAATCACTGAATAGATTGAATAGATAATAACTGAAAAGTCTCGTATATAAATCACTGAATAGATTGAACAGATAATAACTGAAAAGTCTTGTATTAAGGCATACCTTGTGTAATGGCGGAGTTTGTTGCAGTCTAATGCCGCACCTCATAATTTACTGGTCAAGTTTTTGTGCAGACTATTGCCTTCTCGACACTGATGAACGATCTGGTCATAGGCACTTTGCTCTTTCCATTAATATTCAGATAATAAATGCGCGAAACTGCGCGGGAAATTCCTGATGGACGTTCATCTAGGTAAAGATCGGATGAAAATGCGTTTCAGTTGGCATGAAAAATTAGGGACGACCATCCTGTTTGTAGTGTAGTTTTGGTTACTTTGATTTTTCACACAATATTTTGATATGTTCAAAGAACTCTTTACGAAATTTTGATGAATCCACATTGTTAACTTCTCTCACTAAAAACATTTATCAAGAGAGTTCCATGAGACATCTTTTTAGATAGAATTTATTTTAACTCCGTTTATGCGAGTAAATTTTAAAGGCTTTCGAGGAATGTAAACTTGATTAAATCTAATTTAGCTTAGTACAATGGTCCAACGATAAATATTTCACCAACGTACAATGGTGAGAAAATTCTAAAATTATCCTAAAAACTCTCATCATCTATAGTTGACTTTAATGGAACAAAACTGCGTGTGAGAATTTAATGTCAATGAAGTGGACAAATGGGATTCGAAACTACCTTAAGTTTAATATATGTATAAATATTCATTTATTAGCATGAATTTCTGACATGTATCCATAACAACAGTCATCTACGCTTGCGTAGTTTTGGGTCTGATATTTCTGAAGCGGCTGTTGTTGTAGATGAAGACGTAGTCTGGGACGTTGCTCAGGTGGAAGTCGTAGAGACTGTAGTTGCGAGCCGCGAACCTGTGAAAAAAAAATTATTCATCGCATCATAGAATAAATTCTCATATTATAAAAATATTTTAACGTGTAAATTTTAGCTAAATTCTCATTCCATAACATATTTAGGAAGAGCTTGTAGTAAAGTGTGTAATGCATTGTAAGATCGTTCTTGAGGTACAAAATAAGTAATTGTTATTATCGTACAGCTCGAAAAAATGCATTAACTAAAAAGCATCGTTAGTGGAAGACCGAAGCTCGATAGCTCACGGCCAGTAATAATTGGCGTTTGTGTGGAAAGCATTTAATTAGTGAGCACATCGATCGCCAATAACGATTGTGCAGCAAACAGCATTGAAGAAATTGCGCCCAAAATTAAAAAGACTCTTAATGGGTTTCCAACTAATAAATAACGGCGTCTTACTGCCTGCCAAGGGATAATTGAACTGGTCAAGACTTGAAATACAGATCAGTGAATCGATGTTTACCGTATTTATATCATTATCAAATGGTATAGTACGTGTTTTGTACATGCAGCTGCTTGCAACAAAAAGCATTATATTTACAACATAAAGTTTAGTTGCTACTCCCTATGAAGATAGCAAACTTCGCTTACAAGAACTCCGCTTATTAGCTCTGCATAATGTACTGTAAAACGCTGTTCGTTTTGTTGGGTTTTGGTTTGACGTAAGTCCGCGTTTTTTAGGATAACCACGGTTGCAACAACAAATATCCCGTTTATTGTATTAAAAAGTTGTATCTGTAAGAACAAACAAATATATTAGCTCTATAAACTTCATTGTATGCCTATAATATTCAAATATAACAAATAATAATCAGAACAATAAACAACTTATATGAAGACATAAATCAACGCACCGAAATATTGTGTGCAGTTTTGACGCGGGCTACGAACTGAGCTAAAATGAAACTATTGATACGTTGTCGGCTATCTACACACTCTAAAGGTCGGATGAACAAGTAAATCATAGGAGCGCATAAAAAATAGACTATTAAAACTAAGCTAACAAAAGGTTCGCTAAAAATATTTACAATGTACCATCTGTAAAATACGCCATTTGACATCAAAACTCTAAAATGTACTGAAAGCGCATGAGTGGCAAATGTGTTTTTAAATCTCGAAACTGAACATGAAGCCTATGGCTGTAGCCCATTAGAAGTTGTTGTTACTAAAGGTATTTCTATGAAGTCTCCTGCCTTTGCTCAGTCGGCAGTAAGTTGAGTTCGACCATACATAACGTATGTAGCATTCTGTGATCAGAACTAAGGGCGCAAATTCTCTTATATTTTATTCAACATCTTTCACTTTTATTTCTGGTCGTGCTTGTTATCTATGCTTTCATTCCGGCACTCTAAAACATCGATTTTTTTAGCTTAGTTTCTGCGAATAACAAATCAAATATTTTAAACAAATTTTGGATCATGATTCCAACATTAATTTTGGCGAAGCCGACTGTACCGGCGAATGGTGTCAATTTACTCCTATTAAATCATTTCGACTTGCACAAATAAATAAAATATATATACACTGAACCGAAAAATTAAGACACGACTCGTAATTGGTTAGACGTGACCGGCGCTCTGTGCGGTGAAACATTATTCCGACCATTTTTTAAATTGGCAATCGGATCATTAGCCTGCATCATCACAGATATATACCATTCTGGATAATAAGTCCAAGTTTCCGATTGTTGTGAAATTTAATCTTGAAACAATAACGTTCTACTTGCGGCCTCAATTGACTTACCATCTGATTAATTAAATATATATCAATAAAGTCTGAGCAGCTTAACATGCGGTTGTTGACCAGAGCCTGTTAGTATCGGATATTGGACACAAGTTTCCGTTCATTGCAGACTTTGATGTTTAACAATGTGAGCAAACAATGTGTTAAACGTCATTAAAGCGATGACGTTTAACACAACTATATACACAGGATATTTTGCGTGTCTTGCCATTTGACAAATTCAGGGTCGTAGGCCGTAGTGAGCGCTCCTGTGACGTCATCACGCGTCCTGTGCTCGACAAACCACACGTCCACCTTCACAGACTCGAAGGGAAAAGTTTCAAGTATTTTCCATTCAGCGTCTGCTCAGAAATAGACCAATGCAATCACCAAAATTCCAACTACCTGTACCGAAAATTTATCATAATGAAAAAATAGAGAAAAAGAAACTGATTTCCTCATGATAGAATTTCGATATGGGCCTCGTAGTTCGATAGCCTGCATGTATCGTTGCTTGGAAAGTGTTAGAAAGAATGTAAAATCTTGGTTCAAAGCATAAAAATACAGTGGCATGCACGATATTTTAGCGATAAATCTTTAATATTCATGAATAACAACCCACCCCAACATCATGTGTCCACTGAACAATGGCAGAACTAGTCACGTACATTGGAAAACTAAGGTGAATGATCGAACTCTATAAACCGTTGATAATTAATAAAATATATAATTTTCCAACCTTCAATATCCAGGGAGAAGAGTGTGACGTGCGACACTTGGGCAGCCAACAAGATGCTCCTTATCGGGAAACAAATAACTTCTCGATAGGTTGGGAAGCCATTGAAAGTTCGGTCATCGGATTCTTCAAAGACTAGCGAAGTCATGCTTTTGTATGAAATAGCAGAATCATGAGGAGATTTTTCAGGTGAGAGTGTTCGCAGCAATGCCTGAAACCACCAGATGATAAATTTCCGAAAAAGTTGGAAAGGTGACATAGGCCGGGCAAAATATTGTTGAAAGCTTGATTATTACAATTTTTCGAACCCTACAGTCAGGACTTATGGACACTTGGAAACGAATACACTCTGAATATTGTTTTTTTCTGGGACAATAATGATACTGACAATTAAAGTTAGTTTTCGTTTAAATTTGTTGAAATGCTTTTATCCGCGTGGTTTATCCCTTGCTGATAAAACAGTCTTTTATCAAACAACCAAAGTAAATGGAAATAGAGTAGGTGCACGCTTGTATTTTTGCTTGAGTGAAAATGTTTATCCCTGAAATTCTCTCAATAATCGTTTCCGTTGATCATAGAAATGATACCTAACAACACAAGTGGGTCAAGCTAACGACTGAAACGAGAGGTTACAATTTCTTACCTGATAAGATGCGTTAGTTTGCAGGTAAGTTATTTGCTAAGCAGCTGAAGGAAAGCATAGTATTTAAATTATAGAATAATTGGATTACCTTGTAGGGGTAAGAATGTGGTGAAATGCACGCCCTGATCGCCTGGCTGTTGCGTTTGGTGTTCAAGAGGAGCTCGAACATGTCGGGGTCGGGCTCTACGAGCAAGCCCGTCCACTGCTGCAAGAACTCCAGCTTCAGTGTGTTGGAGGCGTACACGCCGTCCAAGGCTCCCGCCTCAATAAAATATTCCCCCGTAATGTTATTGCTTATGAACAATTCATTAACAACCCTATCGTAAAATTGGAAAGAAAAACTCTTCATCTCGTATCCGGTAGTCATTTCTATGATGATGTCATTTGATATCAAGGAAGGGCCAGGAGCATCGAAGAGGTACCTGTAATGCGAGGTGGAGCTTGACTAACCAACACATCAAATATAATGTTGAACTTCATCTGGCTGGGTAAACAAGTGATTTCTAGAAATAGTTTTAAATTTATCCAAGAATAAGAAAATAAATCTATCAGCACTAAGTAAGACGGATAAATACGAAATACTTAACCTGTTTCATGATTCAGCTACAAAAAAATTGCATTTAATTATAATTATTGATGGAAAAATTAAATTCTGCACAGATTCCTCATTATTAAACAAGACACGATCATTCATCTAAAAAAATTATGTTTCTTCTTAGCAGGCTCTCTTTACACTGGATGTCGGCGACTCGTTTCTTTTATATTATGTCACACTGAATCAAACATTCATGGAACGTTTGCTTTCAATGTTTTCTTCTCCAACGATGCCACTCCAATATACCTGACCACATCTCTAAATCGTTTGGGGGCCTTCATGAGGGTGTATGGTAGCAGTGTTTGAAACTTAACCTACAGTTCATATAGAGTATTATCGCATTCAGCCGTGAAAAGAATTATTTTAAATCCACCTTCATGAATATTTCTTTTTCTTTTTCAGCCCATTCCGGTCACCCTTGTGAAAATGGGTGTAGTTTTCACTGGATGGATGGAAAATATTTCGGTATCTTCAGTGGAATAATCGGCATACAAGATTAAGTTACAACGTAGAATTCGGTGTACATTTTAAGAATGTCGGATTATTGAACTAAGTGATCTGAGTACGGTCGCTTCACAGTTTTATACATCTACCAAGTATAGTCTACCTACTTCTGACGGATCTCCTTGAGTACGAAAGGATCGTCAGCGTCGAGGGGACCAAGAAGACGATTTTGCAGGACCACTTCCTGCTGCGCTGCGCTGTCGAGCACCGGTAGCCCCGCAAACTGCCCAGGAGCCGCCTAAGTTAAGCTTGACTGCGGATATATAATATTAATTAATTACAGAATTAGTGAGTGAATTAGTAGGAATGAAATTTTTGAGGTTGTATTATACCAGGCGTGTTTTTAAATAAGTTTCAATTATAAATTGAAAAAAAAATGTCCGAAAATAATTTACTAGCTTGAAAGGCCATGTTTTACTCTAATTTTCTATATAATTGTCATGACAATTGAGGCATTTATCTTATCGTATTCTGAGTCCTTTATCGACCAGCTTTCGTATGTCATCGTCAAAGAAGCACAGTCGTCCGATGCCTCTTCTATTGCAGGGCTAAGGACGAAATCGTGAATCGCCTGTTCTCTTCCACCTTTCAGTCCACTTTTTGCATCGGATTATTGCTAATGACAGAGGGTCTCCCACTTAATTTCTCATCGTGAATGTTTGTGCGGCCATCTTTAGAGGCCCGAACCCATTTGCGCACCATTTGACCTATTGTTTAATGTTCTCACCATTAATTTCAGTAATTTGGCTATGAATATCAACTGATTTGTAGTCTCAAGCGCAGAAAAATAGTATTTCAGCATGACTTTGCATTCGGCGGGGTTCTAAATAGGTGAAGACATTTTAAAATCACATCAACTGATGTAGACTCGATCGGATGGTTCCATAATGGCATCTATGGCTTTCCAACAGATCTATAATTACGGAGCGTGCCATGTGCAATGTTTAACGGCAGCCACTGCTCTGCTTCGGCGTTATTTAAAAATAGTACTTACTTCAAAACCACGACTCGGGTGATAGCACAAACGTCCAAATATCTCAATGATGTTTGAGTGAAACCTCATATATTTGGTAAATATTTAACTGATACGCGTTAAACAGTGATTTTACAGATAATATTGGATATTTGAAAAAAATTATCAGTAAGAGTTCTCACGAATTTTGGTTGTAGATGCTATTGTTAATTAAGTCACTACTTTTAACAAATGATATAAGTCAATAATTTGTAAATTTAATTTCACTGACGAATTGTGTACATTCGCATAAATTAACATATTTTGTAGAACGAAAGAGGTAAATTATATGTTGTCAATTCGTTGACTTTAATATAAAGTATTCTTCACAGATTACGGGTAACATTTTATACGAAGTTGTAAAATAAATCAAGTAACCGACCACAATAAAAGCTGCCGACGCCAGGGCGGTGAGGAGGTACGACCAAAATTTTCTGCATCTCTCAGGTTTCCGAAAAAAATTTGGGCGCCGAATGGAGATCATTACAATTTGTAAATTTTTATAAGATGTAAGTGGCAATAAGGTTGTAATTAAGTTAAAATTTAAAAAAGGTCTTTAAAGTTTTACATTTTAACATCTGCCTATAACCATAATGTGGTTTTTATTTTTTCACCGGTTCATATTCTAAAACTATCACAACATTATTTTAATTGTAAATGAATGCGGAGGTGGTATTATTTTCGCCATTCTTAATCAAGTTTAGTAATCAATCAGCTGGAACTGGTATTCTGTCAGATTTCACAGCAAAATTATTTATTGTAAACTTCATTTTATTTGTAGCAAATAGTGGAAATGTTATGGATATTTCCTTTGAATAACGTTGTTGGTATACTCGTCGAATGAGCCACTGAATAATGAACGACATTTAACACTTATTAAAGCAAATAAGATTTTCTCATTAACTATTAGAAATGCACATTAATATCAAATTTGCTTTATTAGATTTTTTCTGCTCGTAACATTGGTTATTATTACAAAATATGTGTAAAATTTTATTTTCAGATAAGAATGAAACTTGAAGCTAGGTATACACTTCCAAGATCAGGAGCATCAGAACGCCCGACACTGTACTTGACAAGCGCACGAGTGGCATTTGCGGGCAGCATCCGCTTATGACAGGTGCTGTAGCAAAAAATTGCAGTATCAGAAGGAAAATTGAGAAATAAAATGCCTACGTGGCAGGAACCTATAATAATCAAATTTGTCTCACACATCCTGTTGAGTTCATATGTATGTGCGCGCTGCTTGCCACCACGTTAGTATAGCATTTCCGTATAACTGAACAGTTCTAGAACTACTGTTGTAACCCCTAGAACTACTGTACGTTGTAACCGGGGGCACTACAACACGTGGAACAAACTCGTTGCTGGCTTTAAGTAAGAATTTATTCATGAAATGCATGTCACAGAAAACTTAAATCAGTGGTTCCCAACGTGGGCGATATCGCCCCCCTAGGGGCGATGGAAAGATTTTGGGGGGCGGTAAAGAAGAAGAGGGCGTTTGGGGGGCGATAGGGGGGCGGCAGTCGGAAGTTGAAGTCAGAAGCTCGAACGTTTGTTTGACGATCTGTACACAACACGTGCAGAGCATCATAACTCCCAGCGATGGTTTTTTCACCCAGATCTGTTTTTAGCGCATTTACTCATTTGTGAAAAAAATGCACTATTGCGCTCGGCCAGAACGGCTGATTGTGCTATTGTGAATTAACGGCCGGACTCGCGGCCGGTCTCACGGCCAATTTCATTATTCAATGATCAAGGAATACCTCTCAAACTAATAAACTTATCTGGATGAAACTTGGTACACGTATTCATTAGGATCCAACGGTAATGTAAAGCTCGTGAAAATTTTTTGAATTTTGCCTTCAATTGTTTTTGCCATACTTATATGGCAATACGTACGGGCCGAATTGACAGTGATCAAGGAATTTCATCCAAATTAGTGAACAGATTCGGACGAAATTTTGAATTTGCAGTCCTAACTACCGAACGGTGATGTTTAGCTCGTAAAATTTTTTTCGATTGTGCCTTCGTTCGCGAGTTTCATTCGTGATTTAAACAGCAATACGTGCTTAAATTCGCAGTAATCAAGAAATTTCTTGCAAACTACTGAACAGATTTGAACGAAATTTAGTATTTTAATACCTAACCTCAGCATCGGTGATGTTTAGCTCGTTGCAATTTTTTCGTTTTGCCCTCGTTTGTGAGTTATACGGCTATACGTAAACGGCGCTTGGTTAAACCAGCCAGTAGAAAAGCCGATCGTTTCTCCTATATCAGTATAACTTGCGAACGAAAGCGAATAAGGACGTGTAAAATCAAGGATGACGGTAAAATAAAAATTTTTTCAATCTAAAAAACACCATTTGGTAGTTAGGAATGTATATTCAAAATTTCGTTTAAATCTGTTCGGTAGTTTGGAAGAAATTCTTTGATTACTGCGAATTTCGGCCTGTATCGCAATATAACTCACGAATGACGGTGATATTTAAAAACTTTTCGCAAGCTAAACGTCACCGTTAAGTTTTGATAAATACATGTTCAAAGTTTTATTGAGCTGCGTTCATTAGTTTGGGTGATATTCCTTGATAACTGAATTTTGGAGATTGGTCGTGAGACCGGCTACGAGTCCGGCCGTAATTTGCCCGAAACGTCCTATAGGTTTCTAGTGCTGAAATGGTTAAAACAGCTGAAAAATACATTGATTCACTAAAAGGGTCCTATTTGTGAAATACACATTTTGTGTTTAACCTTTATCTTTGAAAATTGCAGCGAACTAAATTTTATAGTAAGAGGCGCGTTATTTTATATGTGTCTGTGGGGGGCGCTAGAAATTCACTAGGGAGCCAAAGGGGGCGCCAGCCTGAAAAAGTTTGGGAACCACTGACTTAAATGATCGAATGCATTTTAGGGATTTGTCACGAATCGTTAGAATCATTTATTAAAAGCTGAACCAGCTTTTTTAAACTTGATGCATATCATAATATTTGCCGCGACTCATAATCACATAATCAAAAATTCACGTACTAAGAACTAGAAACTAAGAACATCAGAAACTAAGGCTTGGAATTGTGAAGTGCACAAATTTATGTTCATATATAAAATTTATATTGTGGAAATTTGGGCAAAACTATTGGTAATTGCATGCATACCGCGCCTGAAAAATGAATATAAATATCCAAGCATTAAAAGACTATAAAATCCTTAACCAAGGGAGGGAATTTAGGAAAGTGAATTTAACTTTGAAAGTTAAATTCACGTTCATTGTAAGTTGTGCGATCATCGTAACTCCGCATTTTTCTATTATTATGCGTCAATTCATGCCTAACTGACAATGAACAGAACATAGGATGACCTGTGACGTCACCATAGTATGACCTGTGACGTCACCATAGCATGACCTGTGACGTCACCATAACATGACCTGTGACGTCACCATAGCATGACCTGTGACGTCACCATAGTATGACGTGTGACGTCACAACTATCATTTTAAGAGAGTCGATCAGCAGGTCACCAAAATGACATTTATAATAAAAATGATATTCAGCGCAATAGACTTGCATTTCACCAGCAGGTATCCTTTTGCAGGTCTTGTGAACCTGCATTCAATTTTCAAACCTGCCGACGCTTATTCGATTTTATTTCATCACGTTTATTTTATTTGACTTCCGCTAAAGACTTTCAAATTCAGCAAGGTCGAGCTTGTTCTTCATATTTGTATCATGCTAGCGATGGCCTGACCTAATCGCCTCATTAATTTTTGGATTTTGACGAATTTAGCAGTTTATTGTTCGTTTCGAGAATATTTTAAATAAGATTTATAGTTGCATATATTTTAAACATATGAAGAACATACAATAAACTAGTCCTAAAGGCCATAGTGGCATTTAGTGTTGACTACTAAGTGAGTTTAGTGGAACGAATGTAAGTTTATATAACTCGGTCGTCGCCAATCCGTCAAATTAACTTTGCACATGCAGAGGTGATAAGTCGCTAAAATCTCATCTTTCATTCGAGTGTTGTGCAGTTAACTGAAGTGATAGATTTTAGGAAGAAAACAAGTAATGTGTGCACAATTGACTTAAAGGAGACTCAGAGTGGGATCCAAGTGGTCAAGCTCCTATATAGCCTCTTCTCTTTGAATTCGTGATCAATTGAATTTCGTGGAAATTGAATTCCAAATTTGGAAATAATTCCAAATTTGGAATTCGAAATATTTGGAATTTGAATTCCAAATATTTCATCTCTGAAAGACATTGGCCATCAATCAAGTCCCTCAAATAGACTACATGGGATATTTAGTGGGCAAGCCATTCCGACAAGCATCTTGAAATTGTCTATTTCTTTATTTTTATTTTTTTATTTTCTAACTCTTCTAACTAGCGGAAGAAAAAATATCATAGATAGTTATATCTCAATCAGAATAGGAGCTCGTGTGCATTTTCGACAGAGTCAATCAATAATTGTCTGAAATTGTTGAAAAAAATCTAATCCACTGTCTTTGTATGCTCTCAAACGTACCTAGAGTTCTACTTGGAAGGGACATTGAATTAATACAATGATATAAACTCCAATAATGCATTTGAGGAAGTAATGTGATCTAAAATAATAATTCTGTAATGGATGATACAAAAAAGAAATCAGAGAAATTAGCATTCTTTACACGACAATTGTAACTCTTGATGCATAACAAATTCGATGTAGCACATTATTGCAAAGCAACGGCGCTGTTCCCGCACTGTAACTGTGAACAACATTCAGTGATTCAGAGCAAATGTAAGTGACAGTATATTCTGCTTTATGTAAATATTTATCACATATCTGGTTGTTTGGCTGGTCTGATAATGAATGATCCATTCGAAAACCGTTTTTAAATATGTATAACGATGGTCAGTCTGGGTGGGGATAGCCAATTAGAATTATGCATGGTGGCACTTGTGCTAGGGCTTGCTACAGCTAAATGTGGGCAAACGTTGATTGACGATGCGAGAATTATTTAGGTAAAATCTAATAATCAAATCGCTTCAAAAAAGCAATGTTCAAAGAAAATTTTAAAGAATGTCCTGATTTTAGGACAACGAAACAATATATAATTACACTCGTCCATAAACATCCAACTTAACGCACTGTCCTTACATCAATCATACAGTCACGTGGTAAAAAATAGGTTAAAATTAACCCAACTCATATACAAATAGCTCTCAAAAATAAATCATGGTTGTTGCCTCGATCAATCTGCTTTGAAGGACTAACGTTAACCTTCCACAACATTACTCCTTGACTTTCTTCAGTCGTCCCGCGGGCGAGTGCTGTGAAGCTCGTCTTTTCCTTGTCGATGAGCTGGATTGCGATGATTTCAATGAGCTACTTAGTGTTGTAAGTTAAACTCGAAGCGACTCATTAAGAGCTTTAGTCTGCAAGAACGCAATATTCTGAAACATGATAACACTTCTATAGAAAATACAAAGAAGGATATTCATACATGAAATGTCACACGTAAAGCGGTAAATTGCTGGATACTTACAGAGAATGAGAATAACAGTTAACATTGTAAGAGTCGAGCCAGTTCTGCTGAAAGTCAATACTTTTCGATCAAAGTAACTAATGGCATCCACTACGGTACGGAATAATATTTACCTATGAAGACTACCCTAGAAACTTCACGACACTTAGAACAGGGCTCTATTCTATAAAAATTGTCAAACAAAAAGTTTGACTATCTAAAC